ACTCCGACACGCACCTCGAGACGACCGCGCGCCGGCTGGTGTGGGGCGCGTTCCTGCACGCCGGGCAGTGCCTCTCTCGACCCGACTACATCCTCGTTGACGCTTCGATTGGCCCCGTGTTTGTGGCGGCCCTCCGCGACGCCATCGTCGCTGCCTTTGGCGCGGTGCCCGAAGCCTCGGGCTTTTTTGGCCGCCTGGTCAACGACGCGCAGTTCGACCGGCTCGACCGGCTCTTCGAAGCCGACCGGCCGTTCCTCGTGCACGGCGGCGCTTGCGACCGCGCCGAGCGCTTCTACGCGCCGTCGGTCTTTGACTTTATGGACGACACGCGGGCGTTTGAGACGAGTGCGTGCATGCAAGCGGTCGGGCCGACTGCCGGGCCGCTGTTGCTTGTGGCGTACTACAACGACCTCGACCAGGTGCTCGCACGTCTCCGAGCCTACCCGACGCCGCGCGCCCTCTACCTGTTTACGCAGAGCCGCCACGTCAAGCAGCTCGTGGTGGCGAACGCGATCGCCGGTGCCATGTGCGTCAACGACACGGTCGTGCAGGAGACGAGTCGCCACCTCCACCGCTTTGCAGCCCTCTTTTCGCAGCCCAAGTGCGTGCTGTACAAGTCGAGCTACTTTGACGTGGTGCAGCGCTACCCACCGTACACGCCGACGCGCCAGCGACTGCTGCACGCCGCCCTGCGCCCCGTCGCGCGCACGACGTGGATCGTGCTGGGGATCAGCGCCGCGCTTCTCGTGCTGGTTGTCGCTCTCGTGCTCGGCCTGGTGCTCTAAGCTGCTAGGAAGCTACGTGTAAGAATGCTCTCAATATGCTCTCGATGCACCATGCGACATGCAATAACAAGCATGACACTTCTAGCTATAGCGGAGCCGCGTTGGTGATGCTAGATAGGCGAATAGCTATGCGACGGTTGAGGATGGGCCTCACGCGCGATCAAATCTCAATGTGCAGTTCGCGTCCTCCTGCCGGTACCGTAATGCCGGGCATACAAATGGACGAGCTCCAGAGTTGATGTGTGCATGAAGAATGTCTTCAAAGCAAAGGGGTGTCACCAGCTCCTAGCTAAGTGTTCCAACCTCAAGAGCGCAAGCATCTCTGGGTGCCGATCGCTGGGTGGCGGGCGACAGGCGCTCCAAATCCGATCGGCCAAATCCATGCTTCAACCACTGGGAGGCTCGCCGTACTGTCTCCTCCTGCCTCGGGTCATGCAGTGCGCTGGGCACTCTCTACCTTTACAAGGGCCAACGTCTCGAGTCTCGCACAAGCGTTCACAACGTCGCTAAAGGCAAATTGGTCTGCGTTCCTGGGCGACTTCCTCACTGGCTTGTCGTCGCGTGGAGGTGGCTGGGCGGGGGTATTTTAACGTGCGCTGTGTAGTTGTAATTTGTATGTGGACACAATATATTCATGCCCGCAAGGTGACTCGCCCACATCACTTTTGCTTTTGATCGTCTGCCATCGCATCTTCTTCGCCGACCCAAACACGCACGCGGTCGTGCCGGCTGCTACCACCGCCGCTGGCTCCCACCGCGGCCTCGCATCGCTCCAGCCGCGCGGGGTCTCACTGCCAGCCCCCCAGTCTTCCTGAAGGACTAGCCGGTGCCGTCTACTAACCGCGCCGCTTCTACATGGTCGAGCTCGCTCCGAGTAAAGACGCGTAGTCGCGGCTCTCGAACTTCGACCATTGTGAGGCACCTCGTGCGGTGCATCATGGGCAGCGGCTCTGGCGCATGACCGCGGCGGTGCACGCACGTCGTTCCCAGCACCATTGGTACCGCGATGGCGCTCGTGCCTGCAGCGACGGGCAGCCATGCCGTGCGCGACCACGTCTGGGTGCACGTCGACAACAAGTCGTTCGCCGTGCAGCTCTTCAAGACGACCGACGGGCCGCTCGGGGACATCGGCGCAGACTCGAGCACGAACCGCCTCTACGTCATCACAACAAACAGCATGCAGCGCCACGTCGTCGACGACCGCGTCCAACTCGTCGGGGCCGATTGGTTTCGCGACGCATTCCGCGTCATGAACCACGGATCTCGTTCGCAGCGTGACCCGGCGCCGCCTCAACGAAGAGCCGTGCAACGTCCAGTTGATAGAGGCTCGCAAGAATCTTCTCTCGTAGCGGCTCGGCGAGGCCGTTGCGAACTTATAGCGTTATCATAATGCTACTAATTAACTTTTGCAATTGATATCAAGTCTTGAGCGGCGTAACGTAGTACTAATATGGAAATGGGGACGCTTGATGGGGGTGCTTGTGAGGTGGAAATCCCATCCATTTTCCATCTCGAGGTTGTGCCCTTTGCCTGCTACGTGCAGATGGCACGAGGACTTGTGCCAAACGAGGACTTGTGCAATCTTGACCGTAGCCGCGCACGAGCGCTCTCATAGCGACGACGCATCTACTACCGCCCACACTCCAGCGATCCATCGACACGAAAATCGTCTGACGTTAATGGCTTTGCCAGTCCGAATCCTGGTCACGATCGAGCTCCGAGCTTGGAGTTGTAATACACCAGCAACGACAACAAGATCGGCTAGCCGAGTCCATCGAATATTCTACTTCGTTCAGTCCACACCTATGACTACAGGCGATCTTGAAGCAAGCCGCTTGCGAGAAGCAATGGACCTCTTTATGTGGAGCGAGCTACACAAAGGACGAGCATCCAGAGATCGCCAGAGGATATACCAAAGCCGTCGTGGCAATAACCCCGAGGTTGCCCTAACCCCGCCCGCAAGTGCAAGGTGACACGTTTTTAGCAACCACCTCCCGCCCATCCATCGGTACCTCAAGTCTAGTTTACCGCCACTGTAGACCCCAAGCCACGTTTACATTGCATTGTGTGCACAATATCGTCCTCGCCAGCCCGGCTCAACTCGCAAGCGCATCAATGCTCGGTCGGCGCACCCACGTCGAATCTACTGTATACGTATCCCCCCTTTTTCTGTATACAACGATCCAGTTTAAAATATCGGCG